CTCTGCCTCCACCCAGAGAGCTGTGCCACTCCTGCAGGAAGGGGCAGCTGCAGGGACCCAAGGGAAGCCCCCTCCTCACTGCTGGAGCTGCAGGGCTGCTCCCGTGGGCTCTGTGGGACCCTCCTGCCCAGGGTGAGTGAGGCTGTGGAGAATGGTGCTCGGCTCAGAGATGAGTTTCTGTTCCGCTGATTTTCAGTGTTAAAAATTGCCAAATCTCCATTGCTGAGCATAAAATGGGAGCAAAGCACAGCGATTAGCATCGCTAGAAGGCTACTGGAGAGGCAGCTCACAGAGAAACCAGAGTGCTGAGGATGGACCTGTACTGGAGATGGCTGAGGAAGCCTGGCATGGAGAAAGGGCTCTCTCACAGCTTGGAAGGGAGTCAGTCTCTGGTGTAACTCCCCAGTCCCAATAGAAGTTATATCTCTGTTATAATTTCCTTCTCATCTGATCTTGTCCTGTCGTACCTCGGATGATTCTTTCATCCCCCTCATTTCAGGAATGGTCCTGTTTCAAACTCTATGTTTCATCAGAGACAAGTCTCTCCCTGTGGAGTGTCTGTGCCATCCAAAATATGTTCGTTTCTGTTATGATCTCTGTGCCATTCTCCTACATGTAGCTCATGATTTATCACAACTCATATTTCTGTTATAAAACTCCCTCCAAAATTAGATGAATCTTTGTCTGTGTCAGTCCCCCTTCCTATCCAAAATGAATTATTGTCTTACAAAACCTAGTCCTACTCAGTGGAAATCAGCCTTCCTGGTATTCCTTTGTTCTTACTAGGAAAAAAGCCTTTTTCTGGTAGAAGCATTGCCAGAAGTGCATCTCTGTCCCTGCAACAGCCCTCTGACACAGTCCAGTCTCACTCACTGCAGTCCATCCTGCCACGTTCCAGGTGTCTCTGTCTTTGTTGTGCCATCCCACATCTCCTACATCCCACTCATCCCCTCTGAGGTGAGTCCATTATAAATGCCGTGCCCCATCCAAAGTGAACCTTTCCCTGTGATAAACCATCTTATCACCCACCTGTTTTTTTGGTTTGGGTTTTTTTTTTCACTGTTATCCCCCAACTCAAATGAGGTGCATTTATCTCAGTTACAACCCCTTTTTATCTGGAGTGAGTGAGTCTGCTGCTATTAGCATCTGTCATATCCAAGGTGAGTCTGTCTGTTATAACCTCCTGTCCCAGCTGAAGTGAATCTTCCTTTGTCATAATCCCTCATCTCATCTGAGGCAAGTCTGCTCATTATAATCTTCTCCAACTGTGCTGAGTATCTTTCTGCTGTCACCTCTCAGCCTAACTTTGGTGAGACTGGTTATAATCCCCTGTCTCATCCATGCTGATATAGCTCCATACCCTCCATGCTGAATCTCTACCTACTGTGCTTCATCAGGCACAAGTCTGACTGTCTTATCACCCTGTCTAACCTAAGATCAGGTTCTCCCTCTTACACTGTGATTACCTTCCTGCTTTCTCACTATTATTCCTCATACTTCAGCCTTTCTGGGTGGCTTCCAGTCTGTGTATCTCAGAAACTTGCTGTCCATCAAGAAAGTGGTTGAGGGATCCGTATGGGCCTTTTTTCTCCCTCCATGTGACTGTGAGTATGCTCATGGGCAGACAGTGCTCCCAGGAGCCTGGAGTGGCATTCACTGTGCAACAGACAGAACCATGCCGCCCCGCCACTTCATCTTTTAGCTTGTGGACAGTGCCAAGACGGGTATTTTCCTGGCACAGTTTATACCCAGCTGGAGGCCCAGAGTTATAACTGAGCCTGCTGCCTTCTGGCTATGAGATATATCCGTTTATAGGTGATTATACGATATGATATAATCAATAGTACATTATATACAGTAACGTAGTACAGTACCACTCGCAAGACCGTAGAAAATATTACATATTGATTTGTCCCAGCCAGCAGCCTTCCCTCGAGCAGCCCCTTCTCTCTCTTTCTTTTCCACCCCTAGCCAGAGCAGGGCTGTTCACTGGCACTGATCCCTGGTATCTTCTCTTCTTCTCAGGCATATTCACACAAGGGAAAATTCTCAAGTTCCTGAAAGCTGGAATTCATGACAGATTTGACTAAGGGAACACAAAGTTAAGACCAAGCTTGGTGGACTGCACACTGTGTGTGTCAGCGCAGTCTTCATGTTTTAGATGGACTGGGCTGTTACTTAAGGGGGTGGCTTTGAGGAGGACTAGGCTAGCTCAAAACTCATGCCCCCAGTTCTAGTAGCCACTTCTCTGGTCCTCCCTTCAGAAAGCTGACACAGAACTCCTGGGTCCAGGCTTGGGAAAAAAAATATGTTTCTGTATCAGCGCTTGTCTCAATCCATCTGCAGCCTGTGAAGCTGTTCGCCTTTGAGGATTTTTCCATATGTGTCAGTCAGTGTGCATGGCTGTGCACACCACGATGCTAATACATGTGAGTATTTTTGCAGTAGATCATTATTCTGGTATTCTTTAGATTCTGCATCACCATACGTGCTTGAGCAGCCATTTGTCTGCAATGGCTGGTTTAGGCTCTATTTGATTTTCAAGGATGGCAGCGCTACACTGTGCCTGGTGTTTGGTGTGAGTGGACGTGTGTTCACGTATACGGTAAAACTTCCATTGATTGTCATTAAACCGGATTTCACCCTTAGTAAATTGCCCTGGGTGGTTACACAGATTAGTGCAAACATTCACATGTATTTGCAGTTCCTGTCTGCCTGCAGAGCCCTGTGCATGCGTGTCTCCTGTGTGTGCACAGGCCATGCCTTTGTGTGAAGAAGCCGAAACCACAGCTTTCCCAAGTCGCTGGAGGAGTCTCTTTTCCTTCATTTATTCAGGGGCCCTTCAGATCTTGACAAATCTGTCACTCTAAATTTGCGAGAGATTATGGTGCTCTCTCCCTAGCACGGAGAGAGGTGATATATGATATCTGCTGCCCCTATTGATTGCCTGATCTGGTGGCAGAGGGCTGGCGAAATGAACTTGAAATGAACATCATGCCTCAACTCATTGTGCGTATAATACACTACTTAATCCCACATTTTTCAGCCGCTATGGAATTCAATTGATCAATCATGTCCCTCTGATAGTACTGTTTTAGGGGTTATTGCTGCTCTGCTCACTGACCTTTTTATTTATTTATTTATTTGTGTCAGCGTATGTGTGTGTGCACGCACGTAAGTGCGTATGTGTATTTGGGAAACTCAGGACCAGCTGATAAGAAGGGACCTGTATAGTCAGTGGAGAATGAAAGAAAGGGATGAAGGGAGGAGAAAGGGGAGGAACTGGGTTAGATAAGACTTCAGAATGATCAAAGCAAGCAAATAAATAGGGAGAGGAGGAAAAGTTGTAAGGAGAAAGGCAATTCTTTAGGTGGAAGTTCTGGACATGGAGGGGGGGCACTCTGCCATGGCCTGGGCTTTAAAATCTGCAAAAGAAAATAAACTTTTGACAGAGGCCTGTAGGCTACCTTGAGGTGGACCTTGTCTAAACAGCTTGCAGTAGTATTGGTCTTAATAGTGGTAGGGCACACAAATCCCAAACTTCACAGAGCAATAATGTGAGCTGTGCATATGGATTTTACTTTCGAAGCAGAGAAAGTTTCACAGAGATGATCCTGAAATACACATTTATGTCTTGTGTTGCTAACACTGAGATGTTCACAGTCACAGATCATTGTATTTTCTTCAAAACCAAAGGATTGTAAATCCCTTGTGTTTGTTTTTTTGATGTCAAAACCTATAGAGGATGCATTTTCGGTTTTTTCCCTGTAACTGCAAGGGAAAGACATTTATCTCTGGTTTTAGATCAAAGTTGTCATTCTTATTATCTAAGCACGTGACTCTCTGAGCTGGACTATCAGGAAAAGCCTCAAATACTGTAATACACAAAGTATGGGAGCTGACAGTTGTGTGAGTATGAGCAAATGTGGCAGTAAGGAGCAGAGAGGACTTTGGGGAAGAGATGGGGTCCATCAAAGGGCTGCAGGTGAAAATGAAGGGAGGGCTCATGGGGAAAATTTTTGTTGGGAAAGGCTAGCAGATCCCATGAGGAATGGCACTGTGGTGGACAACAGTCGCTTCAACTGATGAAGAACTGTGCTAGGAGTAAAAGCTTAAGGGATGGGCATTTGCCAAGAAAGCAGCTCTTGGAAGGGGTGCTGTGGCAAAGCAAGGCTTCAGCTGCAGGCTGAGTCTGGGGATGCCACCTAGGTAACTGCACCATCTTTTCAGCTTTACCATTGGGAAGCACCATCACCTTTCCTAGTTCCATTTTCACTGGTGAGGGAAAATCTGTGGTACTGTGACATAGGGACACCTCTCTCTTAAATCAGAAGGATCTTAACAAACAGCTTGAGAGGTGAACCATGGCCTCAGTCGCTGTGTCCCTCACAAGAGCACACAGTTGCTGTCAGTGTGATCAGGACTGGCCTTGCACATGTGACAGGAAACATCTCTCCTCCCGAGGGGCTGCAGAGGGAGCATACACACCCAATGTTCAGCGTAAACCTTTGACACAAGACACAGAAATGCTCCACGGGTGTCACAGAAGTATTCTGACAGAAAACAAGGAAATATTGTGCCAGAGGACACAAGAACAACCTTAACTGCTTCTGACACAGGGAATATGCCCATTAAATAACTCCAAAACAAAGAGACATTCCCAGGTCTGGAAGCCACAAAGACACCATCGTGTACGAGTAGCACAAAGCAGCATAATAGTTACTTTCCTGGCTACAGGTGACAGAGAGCACCCTTGCTCAGGGTGGGATGGGGCCACCTCAAATAATTCATAAGTACTGCTGACATAGGAAGACCTTTGTATCACAGAAACATGTAAGAGGGTCATGAGAAGCTTGGTGGCACACAAACATGGAGATACTGTTCTCTTCTGGGCAGAGG